CTTTAAGATCAAACACTAATTTAAACTTTCAACTTCTTCGTGGTTCGTTATTTCTCTCTCCTCCTTCTATGAATACCATTGATTTTTTTTATAGTTGTTAATTTTTGATAGTAAAATAAAGAGAAGAAAAATATATGAAGAAAGAAATTTTTTCTTTTTTGATATCACTAAATATACAAAGTATTTATTTATAAATTTGTATAAGAGAATATTTTATGGTACAAAATTAATTAATATAATTATATCAATTAATTATAATGTAAACTCAATCATTATAATTATAATATAAATATTCTATAACATTCTCTCTCAAATTCAAGAGGTGATGAGAAGACCAACTTGAGTTTTAAAAAAAACGTGCAGAAGCATCTAAGAAAGTGAGTTTCTAGTGAAAAGATCTACATACTGAATATGTAGATTGATGCAGTCAACACCACTGGAGGAGAAGGAGGCAATATTGAATATGGGCAACAGCATGTCAAAAGTTCAATCGCGAGAAATTAAGAGCAAAATCAACGGTAGGTCAAGAAAACTTAATTGCAAATAAGTCTGAAAAAGAAAGCAAAGATGATGATGATCAACACCACTTACAAGCAGAGTACCAATTCACAAAGGAGATGAACATTAATAGTAAAAAAAATCTCAAGGCTCTTTGCATGATAGAAAAATAAAGAGAAGAAAAATATAAGGTTTAAGTACCATTTTGGTCCCTCAACTTTTCATTTTGACACCAAAATTGTCCTTCGCCTTTAAGAAGTACCAAAATTATCCTTAAATTTTTATTTTTGTATCAAAATGGTCCTTCCGTAAGTTAAATGACAGGTGGCACGTTAAAATGCCACAAAATCATTTCTTTTTTTGCTTGACTAATGACATGGAAAAAAAAACACAGTTGGCCATCTTTTTTTATGAGGTGGCATTTTTATTTAATTTAAAAATTTTTATATCCTTTTTTTCCATCCACGCCATCTCTTCTTCCTCTTTCACTTTCTCTCTCTTTTACCTTTCCTTTTCCCTTGCCTCTGCAAACCCAGATCTGGGTTCTCTCGCAAACTTCATCTTCTTCCTCCTTTCCTTTCCTTGCTCATCCTTCTTCCTTCTTCCTTCTTCTTATTCTTTCTCTCTCTTTCTCTTCTCTTTTCTTCTTCCTCAAATCTGGGTTTTTCTCAAACCCAGATCTGGGTTTTTCTTAAACCCAGATCTGGGTTCTCTCGCAAACTTCATCTTCTTCCTCCTTTCCTTTCCTTGCTCATCCTTCTTCCTTCTTCTTCTTATTCTTTCTCTCTCTCTCTTCTCCTTTCTTCTTCCTCTTTCAAACCCAAATCTGGGTTTTTCTCGAACCCAGATCTGGGTTTTTCTCACATAACATGGAAACTAATCTCGAATATACTAAACAGCAAAGCCGAGATCTCCTAAGCCAACTAACAAAAAGGAACATAGATTAAAAAGAGTAAAGAATTTCTAGAAAAAAAGCAATTCGAGCCAAATTACATACAAGCCAAAGCCAACTGCAGATCTAATCTCGAAAATAATCAACACGAAAACCACTTAATCAACTCAGAAAATACACATAGAAAACACAAAATAAGCAAAAGAACAAAACCAGATCTATACCCTTATTTTCTTCCCCTTCACCTTGATCACTCGTGCCCTGTTCAAACCCAAATCTGGGTTTGTTTTGGAGAGGAAGAAAAACCCAGATCTGGCCATCCGAATTCGATAAGAAAAACCCTCAAGTCTAACACCTCAATATCCCAACCCCTTCCTTCGCCAACTTCCTCGCGCTTCACACTCTCCTTCATCCCCTGTGTTCCTGTCAACAACTTTATCAAAATAACTCCAAAACAATACACATCAAATTCGGTGCCGCTTTGGTTATTTCCCTCATCATCTCTTCCCTTTCTGCGCCCGATGTTTCCAATCTTGACGTCGGCGATGCATGGGTTGAGATTATCAGATAGAAGGATGTTGGACAACACCGGTGACTGTGGGTGGTGCCGATGTGATGTAGGTAATTTATGTGTGAAACTCAGATTTGAGTTTGAGAAAAACCCAGATCTGGGTTTGAGAGAAGATCTGGATTTTGGATGGCCGCAAAAGGCACACTAGGATCGCTTCACTCATGCTCTCCGCTTGCTGAGTGAACCATTCATCGGTGCCGAGGAAGAAGCCTGGGAAAGAAGAAGGGGCGAATGGATGAGAGAGACGAAGGGAGGAAGAAGAAGATGAATAATCTAATATTAAATTATGTGGGTTTTTATTTAAATAAAAAAAAATTGCCACATGGAAAAAGAAAAATGACATTTCATTAAGTTTATTTTCCACGTAATTATTATTATTTTTTAAATGTGATTTTGTGGCAAGATAACGTGCCACCTGTCATTTAACTAACGGAAGGACGATTTTGGTACCGAAAATGAAAGTTTAAGGATAATTTTGGTACTTTTTAAAATTGAAGGACAATTTTGGCATCAAAATGAAAAGTTGAGGGACCAAAATGATACTTAAACTAAAATATAAAGATATATAAAGAAAGAAATTTTTTTTTTATTTCACTAAATATACAATGTGCTTATTTATAAGTTTGTACAAGAGAATATTGTATGGTACAAAATCAATTAACCTAATTATATCAATAAATTATAATATGAACCTAATCAATATAATTATAATATGCATATCCTGTAACAATTTTAACTGTAATTTTATTAAGTTATATTTTTTAAATAATTAATTATAATATTTAAAAATATTTATTTATAAAACTTATTTTAATATATTAAATAATAAATATTATTTTTTATTTATTTTAATAAAATTAAGTTTTTAATAAAATAAAAATATAATAATTTATTAATAAAATTTTATATTTATTCTTAATTAAATAATATCTAGATAAAATTTTTTATTTAATATATGTGATAATTATTTTTTAAAATATAGTAAAATAAAAATAAATGCATTAAATGATATTTTTTAAAAAAAGACAACTAAATTTAAATATCTAAAATAAAAAACTAAACTTACTAAAATTAAATAGAAGGAATAATTTTTTTATTAATTACCAATTATTTTTAATAGTTTAAATAAACTAAAAATTTAATAATATCAGTGGCTAACAAAATTAATAATAACTTTAGACCATAACTTGAATGTGATTATGATTTTCTACTATTTTATTAAAATTACTTAAAATTTATTTAATTTAATTAATAGTTTATTTATTTATAAGTTTTAAAAAAATTCAATTATAATTAAGAATATCAATTTATAAACAAAATTCAATTTATTAAATAATAAATATTAATTATTTTATCAAAATTATCGATTACTTTTAATAAACAAAACTAATCAAAATTGAATAGGCGGAGCGGCAATAACAACAACCCTATGCCCCTTCTCCTCCATCTCCCTTTCCATTTTCTTCGTCCTTTTTTTTCTCTTTTCCGGTTGGGTTTAAGAAACCTGTTCGGGTTCTTTTCTCCTCCTCAGTCATTTCACTCTCATCCTTCCTCCCCTCCATCTTCCTTCCCATTTTCTCTTTTTCGGTTGGGTTCTAGAATCCAGGTCGGGTTCTATAGAATCCAATTCTGGGATCTTGGAAGAACCAGATCCTAGGTTCTTGGAACTTAGATGCTTTGCAACCCAAATCAGATTTGTTTACCTAGCTTCTTAGGTTTTCGCTACCAGACCACAACAGCAGCATCCCGACCACCCATGTCGCAGATCTGCTAAAAAGTATCGACAAGGAAACGAAGGACCCGGGAACCCGTTTGGTTTGGGAAAGCCGTTGCATCTCAAATCTTTGTTTGCACTGATAAGTTCGAAGACCTAGAAATTTCAATCTAGGGTTTAGATATGGTTCTTCGTGTTCTTGGAAAATCCAGTTGAATTGAGTTTTTATTTTCTGTGATTGATAGAGAAAACGATGATAATAATGACAGTAATTGAGGAATCCACCATAATGATTTTGGGTTTGTTCCGATCAGGAGGCCATAATTGTTTGATTTTGACGGGTCGTGGTAATTTCATCAAATGAATGAAACCCAGTTGTAAATTACCTTTCATCCCTTTTGGTAACAAACAGAAATGAAGAAAATCTCAATTAATTTCTATTTTAAAGATGTAATGATTAGTTCATTGAATGGAGGAAGATATAAGGGGCGGTAGCCTTCTCTACTCCCCTGTTATTTATTTCTCCAAATTGAAGGATTGCAATACATTTGGTTCAACCTTTAACCATTTTTTTAAAATAAATAATATATAAATATTTTATTTTTATTTTTTATTTAATTAAAAAAATTATAAAACTTTAGTTTATTTGTTAAATTATTTAATTAAATAAAAAATATTATCCTCCTACCTCTGTACTTTTTCTTTATGGAAACAAAATTAATATTAATTTTTATTTTTTTTAAATAATTTTTTATTAATTTTTATTCAAATATATCTCCATTCTTTTCTTTTCTGCTGTGTAGTTTATGCATATGTAATTTTCATTTTTTCTAATGCAAGTGTTTAACCTTGCAAGAGTTTGAATTTTTTAACTTTTTTTCTCGTCTCAAATTAAAATTTAAAGGCTTATTATGTGTGTTAAATGCAATCATGATTCTTACAAAAATAAATTTTATATATATATATTTTTGAAAATGTGCAAGTCCTCCATTCCCAGAAATCCCCACTTAAGGGGTAATTACATGGATTCAACTGAGGCATACCCCAAGTCTTTACAGAACACTCACTTGTAGCCAAAATTGAGAGACAATTGTCTGAACAAGAGCATTCTCGTCAATTTACACAACCAAGCTGACATGTTCCTTCTCTCCACAAAGCTGACATCTCGTATCAAGGACGATATCCTCTACAACCAACGCCACCTTGGCTTTCAACCTCTCCTTAGGCAATAACCACATAATAAAATCTGGTCTAGGAGTGATCCCTCGTATCCAGATTAAGGAAAATTTTCAAACTTGCTGCTTCTTTTTTCTCAAGTGTTCATGACAGTTGGAAATAGAAAAATTTCCCACACTAACACTTGAAAGTCTCCAAACAACATTATCTAGTGAGTTAGGGTTTTTTTTTTTGCTTAAAAACTAGCAAAACTTGAGTTTGGAAGAATTTGATAAAAAAAAGAAGAAGACATTTTAGCATTTAATTTTGGCGTATTAAATAAAATTAGCTTTTTAAATGAGTTTTAAGTAAATTGTTAATCAATAATCTACTTTAGTTTAATACAAGACTTTTTATTGCTTAAAACTAACCTTTATCAAAATTTATAAATAAATATATCAAAAATATCCAGAGTTCCAGGTTGACGACGATGGCTTTCCAAAAATTAAAAATTAAACGCAGAACTCAAAAAACTCCTCTTCTCTAAGTTTCTTTTGTCAATTTGACTTCTTTAGCTTGAGATACTCAAAAATTGAAGAAAATTAGTTTTTATTCAATTAAAACAATAAATTTAGAAGAGTTCAAAATCACCTAGCAAAATAAAATTATTAATGTGAAAATTGTGTATGCGGGTTTAACACAAAATTTACATTTAACTTAAAATTAATTGGTGAAGTGGTTTTTTTTATATTTAATTCACAAATTTTTTTGTTTTATATTCGATAAGATTTTTTCATTTAATAATTAACTAAAAAGCTTTTGTTTCTTCTATCTTCTACTCATCCTCCTTTTGCCACCGCCGTGAGTCGCAAAATGCACTAATTAGATAAGCGGTTCTGCGTTTTTGCATCTGTGGGTTGGAAGTTGGGAATTGATTTGAAGGAATCGTAAAAGAATTAAAATGGTATGAAATTCGTTGGGTGTGGTGTAAATCAGGGAAGAGGAGAAATTTTTTTGGGTTATGTACTATATTTTTCATTTAGCAAGTGACTTGTTGATGCTGGTTTCCGGTATACCATTCAAAAGCAGAAGTGAGGTGGCAAAATGAGAGGGCGGGTGTCGAACAGCGACTGTCTAAGCAACTGCAGCTAGCATTGCTCATATATATATATATATATATATATTTTTTGAAAATGTGCAAAGTTGAAAGTTCCTACATTCCCAAAAATCCCCACTTAAGGGGTAATTACATGTATTCAACTGAGGCATATCTCAGGTCTTTGCAGTACACTCACTTGTAGCCAAAATTTGTCTGAACAAGAGCATTCTCATCTATTTTCATAAAAAAAGAAAAAAAGAAAAAAAAAAAGAGCATTCTCATCAATTGACACAACCAAGCTGACGTGTTCCTTCTCTCCACAAAGCTGACATCTCGTATCAAGGACGACTCCTCTACAACCAACGCCACCTTGGTTTTCAACCTCTCCTTAAGCAATAGCCACATAATAAAAAGCTTGTCTTGGAGTGATCATAACAGTTGAGGTGATCCTGTTACTGATAATTGGATTTACCCTTAATCTGGATGCGAGAGGTTTTTATTTGAAAACTGTTATGATCATAACAGAGTTTTCAACTGTTATAATCACTCCAAAAGAGCTTTGATTTTATATTTTATATTTCTCCAAATATATAAATAAATAAAAAGCAAGAGTTTTCAAGTGTTGGTTTTCAACCTCTCGCATCCAGATTAAGGAAAATTTTCTAACTTGCTGCTTCTTTTTTCTCAAGTGTTCATAACAGTTGGAAATAGAAAAATTTCCCACACTAACACTTGAAAGTCTCCAAACAACGTTATCTAGTGACTTAGGGGTTTTTTTTTTTTTTTTTATGTTTTTTTTTC